GTTATACTCTGCCCTATAGGGTCGCTATGAGTGGGACCTTAATCTATGGTGATGGGTTTGGTTTTGGTATTTTATGTACCTGACATCATTATGATAAGGTAATCACCATTTGTTGTTGCTGTCAGTTGCTGTGGAGTAGGTACTGACTCATGGCAACCCTGTGTGTGCAGAGTAGAACTACTGAATAGGGTTTCCAAGGCTGTAATCTTTCAGAACATGGCCAGGCCTGTCCTCTGGGGTGCTTCTGGGTGGGCTGGAACTGCCGATTGCTAGTTCCATTTTACAGATCTGGAAGTGGAGGGAGGCTTAAAGAGGTTAAGTGACTTACTTGGCATCACCAGTGAGCAAGTTATATGGCCAGGGCTTGAATTCAGGCAGTCAAACACAGCCTTACTTTTTCTCCCCTCTGGGAGAAGGAGGGTGACAGAGGAGCTGAAGAGCTACATTTTTAAAGTGTTGTTTATTCATCAGCTTGTAGGAGTTCTCACTGTCCCGAAGGATATGGGGACAGTTAAGGATTTTAAACAAGGCGTGATGTGATCGATCAACTGTTTAGAAACCTCAGAGGGTAAAACAAAAATGGATTTCCCAGAATCAAAACTGGAAGCTATAGTGAGCTGTTACGGTGTACTGCTGGAGAAAAGTAAGAGACACAAAACTAACAGAGTCTGGCAGTAGAGATGAATAGGAGGAGACAGAATCAAAATATTTTAAAGTATAAATGATAGGCCTGGGAAACCAACTAGAAGTGAATATGAGGGCTAAGAAGTTTATACCAAATGAGATGGTAATATGCATATTTCATAGCACAGTGCCCGATATATAGTAAACATCTAATGCATGGTAGCTTTATAATTATTTTTCAAATTTTGAGAACACAGGAGAAACAAATATATTTGAAGATGGGAGGAAGTGAAGAATTTATTTTTGAGTATTCATTTATTTAGTCATCCATTAATTTATCAAACATTTTGTGACGGCTTACTATAGTTATTGAGACATTATATCGTCCTCATGGAACTGACAGTCTGATGAAGAAGGCAGGTAATACACAAATAACAAAGTAAATGTATATGGTATATGTTATGTCAGATGGCATTAGGTGTTACGGAGAAAAACCAGGAAAAGGGAGATAGGGCTATCTTGGGTAGGGATGGGGAATTGTTATTTTATATAAAGGGCAACTAGGGAAGGACTTCTTGATAACATCTATGATATTGGAATAGAGAACTGAAGTAAAGGATAAGCCCAGCTGAAGCCCTGCTAGAGATTTGCGTATATCCTGGGTGGACATGAGCCTAAGGTGCTGTGGAACAGCTACCAAAAGCAAACAAACCAAACGTGTTGCTTCAGAGTTGATTCTGACTCGTGGTAACTCCATCTGTTACAGATTCCAGTTAAGCAACTGGACACCCTGTATAGGTCCTAAATCCCAGAAATAGTGATTCAATCCAGAGATAGTCAGAAGGGAGCGTGGCGTCATTGCAGCCAAGGAAAACCCATTCTACCATATGACCTATAGTGAGTTACCTGCAATCAGGACTACAGGTCTTCAGCAGATTAGAAGAAGGAAGTCACTGGGGACCTTTCCCAGAATGCATTGAGGAGTGGAATCCAGAGAGCCCATCTGTTGCCATCAAGTAGATTCCAACTCGTAGTGACTCTGTATAGGACAGAGTAGAAATGCCCCATAGGATTTCTAAGGCTGCACAATCTTTAGGGAAGCAGACTGCCACATCCTTCTCCCACAGAGCAACTGGTGGGTTCAAACCACCAACCTTTCTGTAAGCAATCAAACACTTTAACCAGTGTGCTACCAGGGCTCCTTTAGTGAAAGAACAGGAAGGGAAAAATAGAAGGAGGATTGCAGGTGTAAATGTTTGTAGTTTGAGGGTGGGGTCTGATGTAAGGCTTGATTATCTCCATTTTCTCTGTGAAGTAAGAGTTATCTCTTGCTGTGTGTTGGAAGAGGTTAAAGGTTAAGAAGTTTAAGGAAACTAGAAGTGATTAAGGGAGGAGTATTGAATGGTAGACCCAGCTTTGATTCCTGGCCGATGCACCTCATGTGCAGCCACCCGAATGGGAATCCGATGTGCCCCACTAAACTGAACTGAAGACGAGCTGACTTTCAGTTAAGCCAAAGAGGCGATGAGAATGTAGTGAGAAGAGCCAAGAAAACAGGGCCGTTGCAGAAGGAGTTGGGAGGCAGGGTAGAGGTTTAGTGAGGGAGTCAGACATCCATGACTGCGAGGGGTAAGAATAAGGCAGAAAACAGAAGACTAAAACACTTACATTTTGAATAGTAATCAAGGGTGACAGGAGAGTATTTGCTGATGTCAATTTAAAATAACGTGTCAAAAGGTTATCTTTACAAAAAATCGTTTTATGGACATTACTTCTGGGAAGTGAACATGGGGATAGGGTAGGGTGAAGAACTTTTATTTTTGACTATATTTTTTCATACTGTTTGAAAAAATTTTAAACCATGAACACATATTCCAGATGTTATTAGAGTCAGTATTATTAGGGTGTGTAGCTATCTGGAGTATGTATTTATCAATAAAAGTATTGATGTAGTAAGACTTCACTTCTGGGAGAGGAAGTTGTTAGACTCTTATGTCCCTACCTCATTTTCCACTCTATAGTTCTCACATTAACCTGCTTGCTTGGATTTCCTGACACCCCTTTCTCTTGCCTAACTGTGAGAAAAAGAAAAATATATATGTATATTATATATATACACACACACGCATATGTGTGTGTGTGTACATAAAATCAAGAAAATGAGCTGTATACAGCATAGTGTTTCTATTTAATTAACTCAATCCTGCAGGTAAGGAAATCTGGCTGAAGATCAGAAGAGGACTCTAGGAGCTAGAGAGAGATTGACAGAGTAAAGATAATAGGGCAGTGTTGTTAAGTGAGCTAAAGGTCTAAACCACTCCCAAGAGTTAATCTGGGAAACTTCCAAACTCAAATGTTTACCCTACCTATGCTTTTAGTCTTACTTGGCCCTCACTGAATCAAATAACCCTGTGTGATTTTATCTAAAGCATGAAGAAAACAGAGGAGGAGAAATGAAAGGGAGGTTCCGCCTTAGGGTTCTGTCTAGGTCCATAGAGCCTTTCCTCCAGTTGTCAGAGTTCCTGTGTTGTAAGACATACAAGAAATGTGCAGGAATTTCGGACAGTGAGAATAACGTAATCACGTTTGAAGGGAACACTTGTTTTCATAGGACTGGTTGAGCAAGACCTTGGGAGATTATTTTAACATGTATGAGGTACTGGCTCTTAGCGTATCACTGGATTTCAAAATGTGACTTTTAAACACTCTTCGAAGAACTGAGCTGGAACGCAAGACTAGCGTAACCTCTGAGAAGACGGATGCTACAACGTGTGCAGTTCTTTAAGGCTATCAGCCAACAAAAGCAAAGGATTGCCTATTATTAAATGGTTGACACAGCTTTCGTTTAACTTTTCCTTTGGTTTACAGGTCAAAATTTCCCTTTAATTTGCACAATTCAAATTTCACTATTCTGTCTTGTTTGCTTGCCACCCTGGTTTTTATGGCAGGTGGCCCCTGAAGAGAGCCAAGATGACCTGTGGCTACCAAAGGGCTGTGCTTGTATTATGCAGGGTGTCTTTCTCTAGATATGCAGGAATCCCCTGCTGTAGTCAAAGGCCTCCTCTCCTCTTTGTGGTCTGCAGAGGTGTTCCTCCATTCCCCAGCACAGATTTTTAACAGTATCTATAGGATCGATCGCTATGAGTTTTTGGTTTATAGGTGAGACAGTAATGCCTGAAGCATTACCAATACACACTAAAGGATTTTTTTAAAACACATAACATCCTTTTAAAGAATGTTTTATTCACTCAGTTGGTTTCTCAGGAACCTCCTATTGTTTCTTTCTGGATTCCGCCTCCAAATCTATTTTTTGTATTTTGATAGCAAAGAGTAATTTGTTACAGATACTGGGGTAGAGAACTTGGCTTTTTGACTTAGTCCTCTTGATAAATGCTTATGACTGAACTGCTCTTCCTTCACTTAGTTTCCTACCACAAGGCTTCCACTGGGTTTGAAAAGCACATATGAAACAATAGTCATTGCAGCCATTCTTCCCACTGAATGAATAGAGCCATAAAAGCTACAGTCTACAGACCACCTGAATCAACTAATCCAGCAATCGCCTGGTCTGCAGACCTGCTGAGAGACAGTTCCATAGTATTCCGGGGGGGAGGGGAAGATATCTTTTTAAATGATGTGGACAGCTTAAAATAATTACAGTGGAATGCCAAGTTATTTACTTGTTAGTATAAAGTGACTTAACTTGGGTAGTATTTGAAGTTAATTGATTCAGGCAGTCTCACTAGTGACAGTGTAGGGTAAAATCATTGGCCTTTCCGTGAGGGGGAAGAAAAGAAGGAGCAAAATCCCATTCAGAATTCAGTGAGGCTGGAAATCGACTGTGTCATTAAGTTGGTTTTATATATTAAAAAGTATCTATTTTCAGGAACAATAAACTACAAAGTATTGAGGCCAGTACATCACATGTATGGTGTTGTTGGGCAAATAGGTCAAAATGCTTTTAAGTGCACGGTAAGTCTTACTGGGAAATGATCTTGTTCTGGATCACATAGAGAGCTAGTCAGCATTTTTCAAAACACCTGTTTAAGACCCAGTGCCTGATGTTTCCATTATTAACATTTTCATACACACACAATAGTATTTTAATGATGTATGTATCCTTCAGATTTAACAATGATCAAGATTTCCCTCACGTATCCTACGTTTTCCTCTATCCCATTTTTCTTCTTAACTATTAAAGCAGTTTCCAAGCATCATGACATTTCACTCCTTCATTCATCAGTCTGCGTCTCTTAAACTTTGATATCACCATAAAGCTGTTATCACATATTACGAAAGAATAGGAATAAATGTGTTGGCATAACTGATCTGCAACATTGCTTAAATACAGTAAAGTTATTTTCTGTCAGAAATACCTCAGGGGAGGGGCACTCGAGAATGGAGAGGCATGCATCTCCTCTGAAGGCAGCTGTGTCTGTGAAATTTCCTCCTCATAACTAGATTAGCTGGGGAAAAAGAGAAACGTTAGGAAGGCGTTAGACCTTGTAGTTTATGTGCTGGATTAATAACGAATATTTTACAAGGTGTTCTGTAGTTAGAAAAAGTAGAAATCATTTGAATAGCAATTGCAGTAAACATGAAAGAAGGGATAAAGCTGCCTTCTGAGCTGCTGGTCTGGAACCTAGTCCTCAATCTTGGAAAAGGGCAGCAGGGGAGCACCGCTGGAAGTAACCTCTCAGGGATCCAACTTGCGAGGAACTGCAAGGTAAGGGTCTGTATGGTTAACCAGTGAGGCACCATTTTCTGTTCTCATGGAGATGTGTGTTATCAAGTGAGTAATATAACATGTTTGGGTGTAACTTATTACCACCTTTCTGTTTAAACTTGGGTTTGACTTTTCCTTAGTCAGAAAACTTTCTTACCCTTCTAATATTTTTCCTTGTCAGTGCTTTAAAATGTTAGGTTTTGAAGTAAAAACACATTAGACTGACTTGGCTGACTAAATTCCTGTTGGTTACCGATGATACAATTGATATTATCCTTGACAAAAGTGTCAAGTAGATCAATATTATCTTGACCATACATATTTTTTAGGAAGTTTTTTTTTTTTTTTTTTGACTCTACATGCATAGTAACACTAAGAACTGCAAAAAAAAAAAAAAAAGTTTTTAAGTGACACAGCCTAGCTATATAACTGTAAATGAGTTATTGACCTGTTTTAAGATTTCATCTGCATCTTAGCACATTGTAATTTTTATGTTAATTAAGTTTGGCAAGCAACAAGCTATTTCAATACACTGATATGTGTTTTACATTTTACCTATAAGTCTATGGTTTTGTTAACCTCCGTAATGAATATGCCAACATTTTCATTTATTTTTACTTGTGAAGACAACCTATCTACAATACTCTGAGGATCAATTTTCTCTGCATTTAGGAAAATGATGGTAAAGTATTTATTGTCATTTTAAATTTCAGCTATTTTTAAAAATAACCAAATCATAGATCTAACAGGGCAGCATGCTTCCACAGTCCTACAAATTCACCCCCAGTACTACTAGTACATCTAACTGAGTTTCAACACAAGTACAATTACGCTCAGAGGCCCGCGGACACACAGGACCCAAACATCAAGTTACCTGGTACAAATGTATTAAAATCCTACCTGGTCTCTGTCCATTGATAAGAAGACTCATAATCAAAATGAAAAATACAAAAAAGAATCGTTGAAATCTCATTTTTCTGCCACAGTAATGTAGAGCAGTGGCTCTCCAGGTAAATCACAGGGTCTTTAAATAGTCTGTGCAATCTCTGTAGCTCTCCTCACACTCCGATGACAAACCTCAGAGAACCGCCAGCTGCATTTCCAGAAGGTTAATGATCACATCAGACAAGGTTTCCGTGCACTGCGCTGTGACCAGAGCCTCCCTCAGCTTCAAACTCCTCCTCCAGGCTTCTCTCCCCTCCCACCCCCCTAAGCAAATATTGGTGAAATAGACCATTCAACTAGGCTCTAACTTCAGTGTAAGTCTTCCAGGAAAGTTCCAAGAAAAGGCTGACTTAACTCCAACCTAGAAATGGAGAAATATGTAAAACAAGGCATGACATTGCCTCCCACTCACGATTTGCATCTGTTTAAGTTTTGCATTGCCGGTATTGGTCCCACATGCAGAAACCAATGGAAATGACGGGAAGTCTCTCTTTTGTCCTTTTCAGAAGGAATTCAGAAGCTCTCATTTAAGACTCCCAAATGCTTTGCGGCAGAACCTGTGCTGAAATGCTTTATCTTTACCAGACTAACTGCTGACTGGTGCCTATTTAAAATGAAACTCTAAATGGCTTAACCTTTGTGGGTTTGTATTAATAAACATTCCCGGGGTTTAGAACATTCTGAAATTAGTCTACATAATGTTTATAGCTTTATTTTTTAAAGTGCAGTTTTAAAAGCAATGGAGATCATTCTCATCTGCAATTCGTCCAGGATTTAAAATAAGGAAGTTCAGGAAGAGCCACTAACTCAGGAAATCTGTGTTCTGTAAAACATTTTAAGTGGTGGAATACAAGGCTAAGTATCACAGATACAGAAATTAGAAACGGAAAAAGAACTCACTTCAGCTCCCAATGAATTCAGAAGAAACAAAATCTATCTAGTCTTTTCTTTTGTACACATGCAGGAAGATCTCTTTTTGTTTTAAGGGCTTTCCTTTCATGTCATATATTGCCGTTTGGTGTGGAAATCCACTGTACTTGTTTTCAAGTAAACTAAAAGGATTGTGAAGATACCCTCTGAAATACCAGTACAGGCGAAGCACTAAATCTAAAGCATATGTAACTTGTTATGAACTGCCAGTAACTTTGTGGTTGTATTCGGCTTCTCTAGATTCAGGTAGTTGGTATATAACCTTTGGTTTCCCGAAGTTTGAAATTAATGCCTGTTTTGTCTTGATTTTACAAGTCAGTCTGTAAAATTTCCTGCTTGCCTAGGAACCCATGGACTTTATAACAGTTAATGACATTCAGAAATTCTTAACCTCACTTTCTTAAAATTCTGAGAATTTTTGCCTGTTTGGCGGCTGGAAGCACAGAGTTAAAGGGCACCGCACTGCTGCGCCGTATTTGTACATTGCTCCACAAGATCAGTCCAGGACAGTAGAGTTTGGATTCATGATATAAAGGGCTTCATGAGTGGCAAGGAATGTGTTCAGAGTTTTACACCCCAAGCCTTTCAGTACTGGAAAACAGCAAACCAACTGACAAAGTTGACTGTTAACTTAAGCAGACGAACAGGAGACCAGCATAGGTTTGATACTATAACTTCTGGTCAAGTTGTAAGTCTATTCTAAGGAAGAGTAGTCAGCCTTCTTTATGGATCAATTAGAGACCTCCCATAAAGAGCATATTTTGATTAGAAAACATTATTTTCATTACCAGATGGTCAACAATGAGCTCCTGGAATATGACTGATATCCGAAAGTGCTGTGGAAGATGTTGTTATACTACAGGACACGGAAAAGTGTTACATTTAAGTCATGTCATCACACTGAACTTCAATTTTCTCATTTTTAAAAACTGAAATGAAATGCCTATTTTTCCAGCTGAAAGTAATGAACATTTAGTGAGATAATGTGTTTAGCTTGTGAAACAGCATTATTTACATACTTAGAAATTACTATTCTTTCACAAATTAGGTCAAAGAAGCTTACTGTTGTTATAATAATTCTGATGATGATTTTTAAGCAGTTGTTTTATAGACTACAGTAATAACAATTATAGAGTTGATGGGCAACTAAAATGCTAGACATTGAAAGACAATCACGAGTGATCCAGCAGATATGTGGAAATCGGGTGAACAATAGTGCTAAGTCACTCACTGAGCATTGAACAACCAGGCATGGAGACATCTTGGTAGCAAAGTGGTAAAAAAAAAAAAACATGGTAACAGAGTGGTAGCAATTGTATGAAAATGATGAATCCTCTTTGTTTATGTGAACCGAAACCCCCACTCCCTCACTGCCCACACTGCCTCTCTCAGTGAGCCAGGCAGTCCCTCTGTGCCTGGTACCATGCTGAGTGTATTACATATATTACCTCATTTAATCCTCCCTAAACCCTCTGAGGTATTCTTGTTTATTGGATAAGAAAACTGACATCTAAAGAGGGTGTAACCACCATGATTACACAATTAGGAAGAATAGATGGATTCAACTTTCATATATGAACTCTCAACCATTTTGCATATTCCTCTCTAGGGCCCAAATCTTAGTTCTTAGAATAATAACCAATTGAATATGTTATAAAAATGAGGATAAGTTAGGAATATACATAGATAGATACATATTGCATATGTAACATATATACTATATATCTATATCTTTATATAATTTATAAAAATATACTATTCTTATACAAGTATACTCTGTGTACCAGGTACTTAACAAAAGTCATTTTATTTAAACATCATAATCTTATGATGCAAGTATTTCTTCTCATTTTAAAGATGGGGAAACAAACTCAGAGCATTAAGCGACTTGCCCAAAATTGAATAGCTAATAGCAAAGCCAAGGTGAGGTCAGGGTCTATCCAGTCCTGGGCCTCTTACCCCTTTGATTTTGATCCTGTGACCCATCTGTCTCGTCTTCTCTCCCATTTGCAACTTCAATCTTTCCTTCTTTATTGCCCATACATTTCTCCCTACAAAGGTTGTCTCCCCAACCTAAAAATTTTCTCCTTTTACTCATCTTTATTCAGCCTCCATTCAGCCAGATATCTGAAATTTAAAAAAGTCTATCCTGGATGTTCTACTCCCTCACGTCCAGACAAGAACCAGTAACGTGAAACTTGCTCCAAAAATAGAGGGCACCGAGAGACCAAAGAGAGGTGGGCAACTCCAGTGTGGCAGCGAAGGAGTTTATTAGGGAGACTTATATACGAGGCTAGTCCTGGGCAGCCGCAGGACCAGACCAGATCTCCGTGCCCTGCAGTAGGAGGGCAGAGATTTTATAGTAGTGAAGGACAATAGTGGTTATAAGCCAGGGCCTTACATAAGAATGACTCAGCAAGTGGTAGTGAACTAACAGACCACGTGAGGGCGTTCATGTTCTGCCTCGTAAAGCCTGTTCCCCTTCACCTCATCACCGTCTCAGTGTACATCTCCTTGATATTGAACACCAGCTTTCAACACCCTACTGAAACTGGTTTGTTTCCGATAAATTCTTTAAACTTTAAAGTATTATCTTTTCTGTAAACATTGTACTCCATTAAATTAGGCTACTCTCTGTTCATATTTTCTCCCTTTTGTTTTTGTTCATGCTGTATTTTTTTTCTCTTGGAAAGAACTCTACTCAACCCCATTTTACTTAATTGAAATCCTACTAGTTATTCAGGGTTAAACTCATTTGTTCACGATCAGTTGAACAAATATTTGTTGAGTCAACTAGGTTTCAGACTTTGATCTAGATACTAGGGATAAAGTCAAGAATCAGACATGGACCGTACTTTTGAATTTAATATTTATTCATTAAATTAAATTTTCTTATAAATTCAGTAGGTTTCCACTGTAAGCATTTCCTGATTCCCTGTCAACTGACAATGCCAGTTCTATTCTGGAGAGCTGTTATCCTGTTATCATAGCCTTTTCACCACTTAATTTCTCCCTTGTGGGCCATAACACATTCTTCCTGGTCTGATAATTTCTTGAAGACATAGGGACTCCTGCAGAAACAAAAATTCCTTGAGTGGAGAGAGACTTGTCCTTTCTCTTTTTGATGTGTTCTCTAGCCTAGCAGCTGTTGAATTAAATATGGAAATGATGAGATATTTTAAAAAGAGGGACTAAAAACTTGAAAAGAATATGATTCTACAGTGAACATTGGCAGGAAGAAAAGGAATACTGTATGTGCAAATATTTACCTGTAAAAAGTGAAAAGAAAAAAGAAAAGCGAGAGAGAGAGGTTCAGAATTAGAGCAAGCATTGTTGTTAGTTGCTGCTGAGTCTGTTCCGATTCACAGAACAAGTATAAGGATAGAAACTATTTACGTTTTAAGTCTGAAAAACTGTCTTCTGTAACTAAACTCTGTAACCTATCATTTGTCTACTTCTGTAGAATATAAAGGAGTCCTAATGGCACAATGGTTAAGCATCAGCTGCTAACCTAAAGGTTGGTGCTTTGAACCCATCAACCACTCCTTGGGAGAGAAGACGTGGTAATCTGCTCTGGTAAAGATTAGAGCCTAGGAAACCTTATGGGGCATTTCTACTCTGTCCTGTAGGGTCATTATGAGTCAGAACTGACTCAACGGCACACAAGAAAATATAAACACAGTTTTACTAATTCAGTTATTTATATTCAATGAGGGTAGGAATTTTTATCTGTTTTGTTCACTGATCTATCTTCAGTATTTAACATACTGTCTAATAACTGAATTAGTAACACTTCACTCTAAGCATCCTTCATAGTAAAGCAGATCTTAACATTGTCTTGATCTGCTCCTGATTCTGGAGGACCAGTGGTGGTGCAGTGGTTAAGTACTTGGTTAAGGTCTGCAGTTCAAATCCACCACCTGCTCCACAGGAGAAAGATATGGCAGCCTGCTTCTGTAAAGATAACAGCCTTGGAAACCTTATGGAGCAGTTCTGCTCTGTCCTATAGGATCACTATGAGTTGGAATCAACTCAACAGCAACCAGTTTGGTTTGGTTTTTGGCTCTTGATTCCTAGTTAACCGCCCTCTCTCTCTTTGTGGTGGGATTAGTGCCCATGGATGAAAACATTTGAAACTAATCCTAGCTGAGGCCGAAAGTGATTTAATTTATAGGCTACTTTCACAGGAATGTTTCCTATTTGATTCCTGATTGCCTGGATGGTGTTGACTATCTCTTCCCA